AACGAGACACTTCCCGGTTGTTAGCCTTTCCTTAGTTAGTTTATTTGGCGGGAAATCAACCATTTCCTCGGTTTATTTGAAGAGAAATCATCTGTTACCTTCGTTAGTTTATTTTGACAAAAGCGGCTACTTAGAGTTTTGGGAGTGAAATATAGTATTTCATTAGTCAGTTTTTTTAATTATATATTGACAATCTCTTTTATGTTTAAGTAAGGCCAAATGCATCATGGTTAGTTGATTTGAGGTAATACAAGTCACAACCGGGATGATTTATAAGTAAACTTTTATAAAAATTGACTGCCAACCTTTTCAACGTAGATGTAAGAATATAAATTATTTTCCAAGATGTTTTTGTTTACATTTGCCCATTTTGCACCGTATTTAACCCAAATAACATCATCAGTACTGTTGGATCACTCCTTTACCAGCATGAAATGGATAAAAAATCATAAGTTGTAATTGAATTCCACAACAACATAATGCGTGTAAGACACACGAATATCAGCAACGTTAAATCCAGTTGTATTTATTTCGCAAAATAGGTCTCACTTTAACAAAAGCATTGAGTTTGGGAAAAATTATAGACAAATCTGAAGACAAAAAGTATGTTTTGAAAATATTAAACAGCAAATATGTTTCAAATAAAGCCTTTCAGGGAAACATTAGTTTTTAAAGCTTTCTGAATTTTGTACTCCCTTCTATACACCTTCTTCTCAAGAATTCAGTATATTCTTAGCGTTACATTTAATACATTCTCAACCTAGTAATTCGATTATATTTGGCCATATTTTATAACAATTATAATTAGTTAATTCACACAAATGTATTCCTAAAATAATAAATAATATATTTCTGAGACATATTCGTCAAATGTATACTACAATCTAAATGAATTGCAACGCAATGATCACTTTACCACAACCAAGAGAGCTGGATTGAAGGAAATTGAAAGCTTTCACTCGGGATTACATCAGTTGAAGCTAGAGCCTTAGTGAGAGAGTGCGTTGTGAAAGAGTGCTTATTCCTCATGACCTATATTGTTAAATATCAGACTTACCTCCAATCCTCTTACGATCAATTGACCTAATACTACATTTTTTGCAGATTTTATCTTTCCAGCAGTTGTTGAAAAGTATACTTTTTGGACCTGAGGCTTTTTTGGGATACACACTCAACTGTTACGGATACGGAAACCTAAATCACACCAAGCATGAAAGCCTTACTTAAAACTCATTCAGTGCTGTGCAGACATGAATTCACTAAAAGCATGTACGTATACTTGATTAAATCTATGACACCAACAAACCAGTGAAAGTCACAACAGTTGATTAAAACGATAATAGAGAACTTTAAAATTAGTCTTAAATAAATTAGATAAAAATCGTGTTGCTGAGTTAGATTAGCTGATCCTTATTTCAGAATTGTTTATTCAAATTCCCAAGATCATTGACTGAAATAATTGAGATTAAGCTGATGTTTACTTAAAAAAAAAAACAATTCAAGGTCTTTATATCTCCAGATTGATTTAACTTTAAATACTGTGTAATCTTAGTAAAATTTAAAAAAAATAATTTATATAATGTAACCAAACTAAAATATGTGAATCAAATATGTACTCTATCAACCACTTGTTAACTAAAATTAACTTCAAAATCAAACACATAATTAATAACAACGTTCCAGTATCACAAAGGGTACTAAATTATCCTGCAAAATGCCGTGTCAAAAAACATAATAAATACATGTATATACGCAAAGACCAAGTTTTTCATTTGTTTACTAACTTTACAGACTTAGAATAATCTTCAAGTAATTTTTTTCTTGTAACATCTTAACTTTTTAAATAAAACTTTTTCTATTGAAGATAAATAATTGAAACACTTTTTTATCCATTGGTTTGTTTTAATGCAAATTCATTTAACAGATTATTTAATCAATCAAATCACTTTCCTCACTACAACAAATGTATTCACTTATAGGTAATGCACGGACAATGACAAAGTTCAAGTTCAGGTTGGAATAAAGATAAACAATAAAATGACTTTGGAAATACAGTACATCCAGCCGCCCTTGACCCGTTGTTGTGTTATTGTTTTGTTATGTAAATACACTGGAAAGCTCAACGCCGAGCGCCCTGACCTCACATTGTTTTGAATTTAATGTCATTCGAAGCTTTTTGGTCTTCCATTAATAAAGCAAAAAATTAGTTGACAATTTAAGTAAAGATTTTAATTGTTAAAATATTGTTTCAAATTGATAAAATTGTTTTACAATGTTTTAAATTTACGTTTCTTTCAATAATACACTCAACGATCCACTTGAATTGTGTATTATGAATTTGATGCTAAGTAGTATAATTGATTACATGATAACAGTAACTCTTATTTTGTTAACATCAGATTGCCAATCAACAGTTAGTACCGTTACTTTATCTATAAGTATAAAAGAGGATGTTGGTATATTTGGCAGTGATAAACTCATACACCGCTGGACCGATGGCCACGAAACTTGGTACATACGTGTAGAATTTCATGGAATAGGTTTATACACCATCAATTTCGTGATCCGTCCAATCGGCTTTGCCCCAGTGGCTCTGGAGTTTCCCATGTTAACCTTATGAGAAATGGAATTAATGAATCTTAACAGCTGTTTCAATTAAACAAGTTGGTTCTGTTCTATGATGTTCAATAGCATTAATGTTACAAGGATTACCAACAGGGTGCAGCACTATTATTTCTTTTGCATTTATGACAACAGCTAATTTGCAACCTAAAGGTGAGTGAGCGTAGCGAACGAACTTCAACCAGGACGTGATTGAGCCATGCGAACGAGATCATCTTGAAAATTAAGAAGTTTAACGGGGCAAAGCCCGTGGGTTACAGCTAGTTAGTGACTAAAGGAAAATATTGTATAGGTATAAATTACACCCCTTCTTTAAAAAAATAAATATAGTACTGTATGAATGACCATATAGTTTACCCTTTAACAGAAATTACGTTTAATGAATTACGCCATATCAACAGTAAACACACCCATATCACATGAGCAAACCTTATCTGCGAGTAAGCAAGGATTGAACTACCACAAACAGAATATCTACGCCTTGTTTATGTCAGTTCATTGCCAGCTGTAGCGGAGACTGTGTTTATGTTTCCTCATCGTTAACCTCTATAAACCAAGTATATGATGCTAAACTAACACCCGTTCAAATTCCTCAAGTGGAAGAATATAAAGTTTTAGGTTTTTTTGCAGGGTACTGTAAATGTTGACAAATATTTTAAGTTTAAAAATCAACGTGTCGTTAGGTTTTGAAATGGTAAGTTCGGTAATCATTGGTTTTCTTTCTTATTCATATTTTTCGAACAGATAGGTCTATGTTTCAATAATAGATGTCAAGATAATACTTCATAATCTGAACTTGAGAATGAAATGAAATGAAAATACTTCTTGATTTTGTAAAGGCAAATTTAAGCGAAACATTTGTGTTTTGTTGAACATCATCACCTGGGTTTTCAACAGGTTTTAACATTATTAGTAGTAAAACAATTGGGTAACATATCCCAACTATATCTGCATTTAAGTTTGCATTAAGTAAAAAAGAAAAAAATTTGGAATAAAAGCAATTACAATTTAATTTTTTTACTGTAAAATGTGAATTCCACTATAAGATATAACTTAATATCAATGAGCTGATTGTACTTATTTCTGCTGGTTGACTCTTTATATTTGGTATTTCAACATTATGTTATGTTTGCCTGTTAATGTTTGAAATTTAACTAATTGATTCTAAAGCTTAATAATCAGAGATTATTTTAGCTGTTCATGAAACTCTTCCAATAGTGATTAAAATAGGTGTAATCGATTAAAACTTTTGAATTAGCGTAAAGTAGAAAAGACAATGTGTATATTCAAATTAATATAAATACATGATTATAAAATCTTAGAAGTACTAAGTAAGTAGTGGCACTTAACTTTCGCATTATAACATGGGATACATCGTATTGTATTTGGCATACCTAATTGTTTAAATATTTTGGTAACTAATGGTCGTTGGATGCCAGTTTTAAGCCAGGTTTCTACCAAATATATATATCCATCTAACGTATTTGTATTTTTTTTTTTTTTTTTTGTTACATTTAAGACCCATACAAACGTCATAGTAACTACCGAATCGAAATATTATGGATCAATGTATTACTATAAATACTACGATATTGGCTACTACTGTACTTCCCAAATTAGGAAACTAGCTTGCAGAGCTAAATGTTTGTTTCATTTAAATTGAAAATACAGGTTATATTTTCCTTGCGTAAACCGTTATTTTATGTTCTATGCAAGGAATTAAAAAAAATCAATGGGATGTACATTTTAAATTCAAAAAAAAAACTTATTTACATAAACACAAAAAGTCACTTGTTATTAATTAAGTTCCATGCGCAATTTATAAAACCAAATAGTCATAAGCCTTGTTATCTTAACAATCCAATTAACATTATGTAATAACGTCAAATAAATACAGCTTGTTACGTCTCATGTATACGAGAACAAGCTCAGAATGTACTTATGTTCATGAATGCAATGTCAGGACATTGATTTTTGTTTACTCGTTGGATGTTTTCATTAATTTAGCTTCGTTACTACTATGGTTTGTTTTTGCAGTTATTATTCAAGCCAACTCCATATTCTATGGTTAATTAATTTTTACAGGTAATCAAGTGTAATACTATGAGCGAACAACTCTTAGCTGCATCAAAATGTCACTTCGTATAGTAAACTTAAGTTTATATACTATACACAGGTTTGAATGACAGCCACACAAACGTGAATTTCATGTACCCTCGTGTTTTGTGTACAACATGGAACCAGGATCGCGTGATGGTTTGTAGCAATATAAAACCAAAGTTGCCGCAGGGCGTCACTACCTGGCGAACCACAACGTTCCTTACTATCTATTTACAACATGTATTGAGAGTGTATTTTTGCATGTTGGCACTACTTACTGAACATATGTGTGGCACAGTGACGATATATCCATGTCACATGGCACACCAACGCACACGACAACATACACCCTCGGCGGTTTCGCGGAATATACTGTTGGGTTTAGGAGCTGACGCAGGCGCCTCCCCCCAACTCTCAGCCCTCCCAACCACCCCCCCCTTCTCACTCATACCCCCTCAGCCACGTCATAACAATTACTGTCTACCACCAGGACACGTCAAAGAATCTGCTACTTATCCAGCGCCTTTTGTGTGCCAAAAACAATTTGCCTCCGACCGCAGCCGCAATCTCGTGCCAAAGAGGTTGCAGCCCGACGGATATTAAAAGTTAAGTGAAATTAGTTGGAGATGTTTCAAGCTTCTTTACAAACACCCTTTAATTTTCGCCTTGTTGAATTGTGAAAGTGTAATTCGTCTTTTGATTTTCCTAATTATACTTCTTGTGTCTTTGTAACTCATCCTTTTTGAGCGTTTTCGGTTTTACTTTTAAGATAAGAAACTAATGTTAATGTGGCTTATCGTGTGTTCGATAAAATCTGACAAAATTAGAACTTTTTGCATTTAAAATTCTTAATGAAAGTTGTTTATTTTAAAATTTTACGTGTAATAACAAAATTAATGTGATCAATTGATATTGTCATTTACTTTAGCTGTCTGTAATTATATCGTATAGTAGGGAATGGTATAGTAATATCAAATATGTTTTAACTAAATAATACTCAAAAATTGTTTTGTAGTCTGTTTTATGCCACGACAAGTAAAAGCCTCTTTATATTAAATAATTACTGATGAAATAGCAATATTTATCTATATGTATTTTTTACGGATGTAAGCAAAAATTATATATTTTGTACCGGCCATAACTCAAGTCTCGTATGACAATATTAAATTCAAGGGTGCGATTAAATTAAACCATGCAGTCTCATCATTATTAATAACTGACGAAGTAGCTTAAATTCAATGCTAAGGACTCTAGTAAGTACTGGGTGGTGACCCAGTACAAATAATACAACATAAGTACTACTTAATTACCGACTAAAGACTGGATAATTATCTGGGATTCTCAACAATAAATTTCGTCATGTATGGTATTTAAAGCACATTACAATCCTGCATGATACCCCTCATACGTGTCTGATATAATTTTGAATACTCTAACACATTGATATTTTGATTGAAGACTACATGGCAATTTGATTTATACTCAAAAAGTTGTTTATAAAGATTAAATCATAATCCTACAATAGGGTAATTAATCAACGATAAAGAGATGTTCTTCTTCCTAATAGTATATGTGTACATGTACTATATAGAGCATTGGATGACATTATTCACCAAATAAATATTAAATTTGCAAATTTAATATTTCAAAAATGCAACTGGAAATATTTTTCTGAACAACTTATTTTACTTAACTTATAACAACTAGTTCAGTTTCCTCTGAATTATAGAAACAACTGAAGTGTTCCAGACGCATTTGTTGTGCCTTAAATAAACGTAACTAGGTGAACCCGTGCGAATTCGCACAAATAATAAATTAGGATATTATAGCAACGTCGTTAGGAAGTTGCGTCGTTGTATCGACGTTGGTCTTGAGCTTGATCGTTGGCTATATTATGCATTCTAAGTTCTTTTTGCTGTTCAGTAGGAGTATTTTGCAGGACGGAGCTCATAATGCTGAAAACTTGCGCGTATGGATTAAATATCAACCAAATGTGAGTCAAAATGTGCATGAGTCTAGTGCTGCAAGAACCATTAGATTTGTTTAGAATTCTTCCTTCAACAGCGGTTTCGACGTCGTAGATATAAATTTGGGCATATGTGGGGGGCTCCTCTTCTGACGGTTGAAAGGTACCAATTGAGTGATAAACTGTGTCGTGCACCTTATACATGAAAGGCCCTCCACCGTTATGTTCTTCAAATTTACCTCGAGTGCTGACCATTGCGAGCGCAGAGTTGTACGATCTAATGTTCTCTTTGTAGTATCTGCTCAAATGATTTGCTCCATTTAAGTAGGCTCTGGATATAATAGATTTCTCAGTATGGTGGTAGATTCACTTTTGCTTTATGGCAGCAGGATGAAAATCCTTCACCTCGTCCTCTTTGTTCTTCTTTAAAATATAGCACAGCACATTTCTGACATTTTAATGCCATCTCGCCAAGTAAGTACACGTTGCCACTAACTGTTGTTCCAGCTCCTCATCTGGGCTCCTCACGTTTTACATTGCTTGCCTTATATTGACTCGCCGTGTCCGACCAGCAATATTTCTTTGTCGTCGGGTCCTTGGCAAGTTTAAACGAAAATACAATGTAAAACCTTTTTCTATATAGATAACTCTGAGATATATAGGTAACATTTCTTTGCCGGGTATCTAATTATTTTTAAAAGCATGCAAACTGTATACATTTGAAAACCGAACAAAACAGCTAGGATTTAATTTTGTTTAAACTAATGTATTGACATCTGTTTCAGAACATAATAACATTCAAATCAATCACAATGTTATCCTTATGGAAGGAACTTTGAGGGCACCCCACGCCCTTAAAATGACATATTTCGAAAATCTAATGCCAGTTTGCACATCTACACACCTAGACGAACATTTTTGTATATAATATGTGGGGTTAAATCTTAAAACAAAAAAGCCTTATTGTTCACAAAGTTTCATGTCGCGTATTAAATATATAGATAGATTTGATACTGATTATTTAAGAACCTATCAGCTGGTGACTTATCAAACTAATTTACAACTATTTAGTAGACTTTATAAAAAGCTTATTCTTAAAATCTCTTTGGATACAAACTATAATGTTGCTTAGTTTGATGCCTCGTTAATATTATTATACTCAGCAGTAGGGGAGTGGGATTTTTATTTTCGGTGTTTTGGTTTTTATCTCTGTGATAATTGTCGCTCCTAATTCACCAGATTTATCGGATAAGAATCCTTCGGAAATCTACATGTATATGTATTCTTAAGTAGATAGCATATCACACAAATTTATATTCAGCCATTTATTCTATACTTTATTGATTTTTACAAAAATAGTTTAAACTGAGTGGACCAGTCCAGCACAGACTAAGGTGTGGCAGTCACTACAAGAGAGAGGTTGATTGTCCTACAGGGAGTCATTACACGGGCTTGTATTTGGCTTCATAAATCTGTATCTGATCGTTAAGGTATCTCAGTTGATTTATTTTTATAAAGTAAATGATTGCCTTTTTAATACGTTTTTATTAGCTCGCTTTCTTGTCCGGTACAAATTTTGCAATCGATTTTAAACCAACTTTCCGATGAGCTATATGCTTGAAACTTGAAACATAGCTCACAAATGGATGACAATGCAATATTCAATCATTTTATTTTCATATTTCCCTTGGGATACACCTCATGGGCTTCCAAAGTTTCAACGTTTACATTTTGGAAGAATTTAAATTGTCAAATATATCAGTTTATTGAAGTCAGCTGTAAATACTTAAATTTGACAGCTCGAAGAGCAGAGGTTAAGAGGTAAAGGTACTGCTCCCGAAAGATTCTTAATATAAAACAAACATTTCAAGTAAAGATTAAACTGTTGTTTTGGTTATATTGTATTTACAGGTCATATACAATGGATGAAACATATTTACACATCAAAGACTAAAAAGTAAAAAATAATTTACTTATAAAAAACTTTTTAAAAATACCATGTTTTTTTAACAACCTAAGAAGTAGAAAAAAATATAAATATGTGGAGATAATAAATACTTGTAAAATTTAAAATGAAAAACGTGGGGGGCATGCAATAGATAATAATAGTTCAATAGGTGAAGGTAATTGTAAATTAGCTATTGCATGCCCCCCACGTTTTTCATTTTAATTCTTGCAAGTATTTATTCTATCCACATATTTATAATTTTTCCTACAAAGTGCGTTTAAAACGTGGTATTTCTAAAAAATGTTGTTATTTGTAAATTATTTCTAATTGACTCCTTCGCCAGCTTCATGTATCCACACACTTCTAATCTTTAATGTTTATAAAACGGATCGTTATTATATTGTAAATTTATTACAATAGACTAGTATGTAAAAAGGTCATATTTATAAGAATGAATTTTTTTATGAAATATTCTTGATCAAATGTTAATTCATACGAAGATGATTGAGAGTATAGTGGTCTACTTCTACTAACATCAACCACAGAGCTACTACTCACCTCTGATACTCAATGTATAAAACTGCCTAAATATTTATTATGTCCGAAAGGAGAGTATATAGCTAGAATCCTTCCTTAAGCCCATGTTATAACGTTATGACTTTATATTTAGTTTTTGAAACCAGTCGGGAAGTTTCCCTGACCTATCAGGAGCTTGCTTTCATCAAATCATTACGAATTTCATCATTACATCTGACATTGTACACACGCCGAGACTTACATTAACAAGTGAACTATAGCAGCCTTATAAAGTCCTGACTAAATTCTATGTTGTATTATTTAATAAATAAATAAATCAGGAGGATATAGGTAATGCAGCCAGGTCAATGCTCTTGTCACCACTCTCATATCCCTAACTCATTTTATTTTTAGTATGTAAGCTGTCAAATCGTTTCCTTAAGAATTTTATAACCGTTAAATTGTTCTAATTTTATTTTGGTGGGTGCACCAAACCTTTACCACTGAAGGTTAATTGATCAGTATTTTGAATAGCTACATATTGATTAGACACAGCTGTTAATTAATAGCCCATACAGCTAATACACTAATACAGCTTATACACTAATACAGCTAATACACTAATACAGCTAATACAGCTAATACATATTAAGGGACCTACAGTTTATAGCGTAATCTGAACCACATTTTTGCCTTTTTATTCCAATTCCATTATTTCCAATTATTCTCAATTGGTCTAATTATCATAATAGTACTACGGATAATCGTGGTATTCACTTCATTGCGGACGTTATTCCACATCAGGGAGTATCGCATCCACAGTGCATGCTTATATATATCCACAATTCATGACCTCCTAGTAGCTGGATTACAGGATGTTTCCACCGTCCCAGTCTAAATCTAAACTAATTAGCTAAAGACATGGTCATGCA